GTGACATAGAAAGCCATCCCTTGCAGCATCTCCAACTATGTACAGGTAGGATCATGCGAACCGCATTCTGGGAGATGAGTCCAACCGCCAGTCATCATACTTTCTGCAAACGATATATACAAATGTTAGTTTTAAAGCTAACAAATACGTAGCAGTGCTTACTTTTCTCATGCTGACTAAGTTTTATCTATTTCCAAGAGTAATCTCAACGCGAGTCATCCGACTCTGTTACAGCCGCGGGAATACTACCCCCAAGAACTACATCCGATTCACCGACCGATACGAAGGTAGGATAAGACACAGAGAACATAGGACTGGTTGAAGTAGAGGCAATCATTAAGTGAATGGCGGAACAGGCATCTTTCTGGCCGGAATCCCAGAGGAGAACTCTATCTTGTCGTGCAAGCTTCTGTACTCGTTCAGAAATAGCGAAACATTTCATAGGTGACATAAACAATACGAAAATAGACCGAGAAAATATCCGAGTGTGACAACATTCTCAGGTTGCGGAACCTCAAGAACTAGACCCGTACTTTCAATGCAGTTCTCCAGTTTTTGAAATCGTGTGATTAAGATAATCAATTTTACGGACTGCAGTCGGCACGCTGGAGCACTCAGCCGTAAATCCACACAGCCTAACATACTCAAAGTGATGCCCAGTGTTTCTCGATAATCCGCTGGAGAAGAGGCAAGTACACGAATACAACCCATTTAAGATATGCACTCGTTCCAGTATGCAACATCAGGTGCAATGAACCTTTGCCACACTGGTTTAGCACTGCTACACTCCACAAGGAAAACTCTGCACTGGTGAAGCTCACCTGTATAAGGAAAGCTATCATATGCATGGACTAGTCCGTGAAGGGCATGTAGAACTAAGCACTTCGCCCGGGACATTTTCACCGATAACGGAATAAGCGATTTCTTAATAAACATTCATTCAGTGCACATCAGCTAACCTTATTCCAACATATTACAGACCTTATCCTCCTTGCATGACTAGTCCACACTACTTTGCCCCCTAGGCCTCTTGGTTTTCTTTTTTCCAAGTGTCCATGGCTCGTACTTTACTGATACGAAACGATCCGGACCATTATCCAAGCGCGCCAGCCTTTGTATGTACGATGAATAGGCACATCAGTCGCTGAAAAGGCACAAACAGTCGCTAAAATAGAAACTCAATGTCCGTTAAAAAGGGCGTGTCGTGGTTCAGAGGAGATGCACCCACCTAAATACTCTAGGCAATCATTTCGTCATTGGTATTTGTTGCAGCGACCCACAGGTGACCTACTTTTTCAAGTGGGCTGTGGCGTGTCGGACATTACAACTGTGGTGGCGTTGCTCTAAATTTCCGGCTGAATACACTTGGCCTGAGTACATATTATCTTGACTTGTCTGTTAGGCGCGACTGTAACATGCATTACGCTCATTCTTCGTTGATCATATAGGTTCTCCCCAGTACACCCATATATCGGCATTTACAAACAAGCCTTCCATTTTTTGTGAAAGGATGACGACTCAGGTTGGCGGATAGCTGACTTGTTTTACGCTTTAGAAACCAACACTTTCACTTTCGGCTACCTATGTACTGGTCTACCTGATTGCAGTGCGACCGATAGCAACAAACAGAACGAGTAATACAACCAGTGTTTGACTGTAGCAAGACTCAGTTCTGGTCTTTATGTCAGACGGTTATGCACCACTAATCCGCGAATTTTCAACATAAGGTCACTTGGTTCGATTGTATGTCGTCCAGAACACGCCTAGACCAACGGCAGCAGTATGGAAAATCGGAGACAACATGAGAAGGCAGTACTATAGAAATATCAGTTGAATAGTGCATTCCGTAGAGAATTTTTCGACCTTAGATGTATCTCATTCATCCGAACCAGGCCAGTTGATGATGATGGGAAAATGAGTCCAGTTCTCAAAAAGACAGGATGCGATTAGTTCTGAAAAAGCAATCCAACTGTGCACTTTATCCTGCTTAAGACTTGTCAAGTGGGTGTAACATGACTAATCACGCGTCCCTAGGGTCAACAGCAAGCAAGGCTTACCGCAGGTCCAAATCTCATAGGTTTGTTACTCACCGTCAGTTTTACCGGTGAGCTTCATTCAAATGTCAGGGTGCTGCGCCCCCCCCCCCACACACACTAAATGATCAGATGACCAAAGTTGGGGAAGAAGGACTAGATACCATTTGGTAATGTGGTGAAATATTGGTAGCTCGGATGAGTTTACTGGTTGTTGATCTGTTCGCCGAGCTTGGTAATTGGCTTGCAAACGTTTCGTCACCATACGACAGTGCGCACCCAACTGTGCACTGATGATGTCTCCTCGTATGGTGACGAAACGTTTGCAAGCCAATTGCCAAGCTCGGCGAACAGATCAACAGCCATCTGATCAACAACCATTAGACACTATCACGATGCCAACAGCGAACGCATTGAGCAAAATGTAGTAAACTGATGATATGACAAAATGAGAGGGAATCCGCTTGGCTGGTGCACGGTGTGATTAGCCCAATGTGACACACGTGCGAACATACATGGGAGTTCTAACTCCTTTTGTAATAAGGGGGAAAATCATAAACACGAAGGTTCGTAGAACGTGGAGAATAGTGGACCGATTTTCCCTCCAACTGGCCCTTCAGTATTGCACATCGTATGTATCCTGTGTGGCGAATTTCCTACACTGAAAACGATCATCCGAAAATTCACTTCGCACAGTCCTGATTCCTACTCAAGTAGATGTACATTGAACTTTGATTATAAGGCTTCAGTGTATGGATTCCTATCCAACCTTATTATCACCGGAGTCTTCACAGAAAGCTCAGTAGTCTCGGATACTGTGAACCGGTGTGGAGTTTCTAGTGGGGAATTAGCGCACTGCAATTCCAGATTGTCTCAATTTTTTTCAGGGGAACATCAAGTTTTTCTTGTTTGGCATTCGGGTGGGAGCACCTGAGAGACCCGTGCTGTACTAGACCTGTACATGTTTGTAAAGATAGAACATGAATCGAGCAGTGTTTATTAAAAATATTCGTGCCGGATCACAACGGGGTGAAAACAGAACGAAAGGCAGCTCAAATCGGCGTCTAAGGACTCAAACTGCCGGCGCCAGAAAATCTACCCCCTATTCTCATTAAAGTAGTTTTTTATTGCAACCAGACTTCCCCCTGAAATAATCAAAGATATGGTCATGGGGGAAAATGCGTTTGAAGGAACATAATTTATCGTGTGACAGCTGATAATGACCACTTCATAATTTTAGTTCTTTCGAGGTTAATCGGACCTGTATTAGAGTAAGACTGATAGAATAAGTCTTACCGATATCGTCCTGATCGTCTACCCACCGGCCTTTAGTTGAACGTGAGTTGAGCTTATAGTTAGGTCTATTAATAACAATTTTAAAAATAAGGAAAACTGGTGGGAGATTTTGGAATATGAGAAAATCGCCCTGCATTTAGCTGATTAAATTGACTATAGTTTCGACAGAGCAGCGTGTGAACGTTCAGTGAATGCCTACAATGCAAGCGGACGACTCAAAACGATCTGAAGCACACGCACGACGAAAGGTAGGAAGTGTTGGGAAACTAGCAGCTGCGGTGAGAGCAGGGCAAATTAACACACACACACACACACACACACTGAGTGTTATTGTAAAAATTTGTCATAAAATACAGGTTCTATGTTGATCGAATCCATTTGGAAAAACAGTTCATCATCATCACCATCGACAGCATGACATCAGTACTCAACACCGATACTTCGCTGCCGTTATCCGCCTAGATTATGGTCAAAAGGAAATCAGTAGTTGTATAACTCTCAAAGCATGGTTTCAACATAAGCGGAACGGTCTTGAACGATTTTCCCTTTGGTTAAATCAATCGATCTAGCGAATCACTTCGAGGTTACTGTTTCATCACACATCCTACGGCAAAATCCCCTGCTTCATGAAAGATCCTACAGAAGAATTGTCCGCAAGCTGCTCGAGCATATTACAGGCAGATGACTTATCCAAAAGTACATACATGAGCACTTCATCATATCCCGGTGAATGAGTGGCTCTCATACATCAAACACGGACATAGTGTACCGGGCGTACGCGATTTGCAGTTCAGAATGGATTCTAGATTCATTCAATTAAGGTATCCCATCACAATGGCATCGACCGTTCCAAGCTCACAACGCAGAATCAGCTGGTCTGAAGCCGAAGCAGTTTCACTGCTAGAACAGTTCCAATAATGCAACTGCACATTCACTTGATTCGCTCGCTTTATAGTCGTATTTAGTGGGCCTCTTCTGGCACAACCACGTGAAGGGTGGAAGAGAGCCAGAGGCGGTCAAACAATGACTTGGCAACGAAGCATGAAAGCCATTACCAGCAAACTCAGCTGCGCTGGTCACTGCCTTCTTCCTGGATGGGGACCCCGAGACGGGCCACATCAATCGCTAGAGAAATTGTCAGATATGGATGGCCCAGTCGCGCCCTCAATGGCGCTCGTGCATTCAAGCTATTGCCTTCAGTGCGTAGCTCAGCTACAACCCTGTACGACGAGTACGTGGTTATCACAGCTGATGATATAGTGGGGATTGTCATTCATCTCGTCATCCGCCTGGTGCTTTGTGCAGCGAACAGAGCAACTGCATCTGTGATGTTGAATCAGATAGTCGAAAACAAAGACGTAGTCCAAATCGAATATGGTGACTCGGGGGAAATGTGCTCAAAATGCAACGATGATCGAAACATTCGACTAATCTCAGTGAAAATTGATACGATGACTTATTAACTGTATAAAAGGAGTGATCAACACGGAATTTACAGAACTGTGGAAATATTCACAAGAGATCCGCAGTGTTTTGCATTTTTCTTACACCACATGCACCCAAAAGATGTAACGTGCCGGCCTTTTCAGTTAGATTTCGCGTACGGAAATCGATTTTTTTCACATACACTGCTGGTTGCATTATTCACACACCGGAACAGCTCCCCTCATAGTCTCAATAGACTTGAGAGCGGACAGACGCACCTGATGCGTCTGTACTAAGTAGCTGTCAATTCGACCGTAGTGTGCACGGCAGTTGTCCTCAAGTAGCTGCACTCCACATGTCCTCAGCACACTCCACAGATCATAATACCACAGACAGGTAGACTCTAGTAATTCACAACCCGATCAACGATCACACCTGTGTATCAGATAAACAATCTGATGACGATGTAGTTCACCACATTTTTCAATCATGACTGACTTCACAATACTGCCTCGGAAACCTAGAAACCAGCCTAAGGGATCAAAAGCAACAAGACCTCACAGTGAAAATCAAATTCGGTAGAATATAGTATCACAGCATAAAATAGTGAGGATTCGATGGCCTCAACGAATCCGCTTATTTTTCCAGCTTGGATTGAGCCTCTGTGCGCTCCTATGTCGACCAAGCTGGGAAACCTTTTCGGGGCTAACATATTTTTCCCCCTATGCTTTGTGTGTGCAAATAAAACATTCCTCAAGCCGCCCAGCAGACACAATCATGAAGTCTATACTTGCCTGTTTTCAAAGGTATACAGACAACGGTGGAGGCAGAGGAAAGGAAACTAGACTAACTTGTGTCAGATGTCAGGAAAAATTATCGCTTCGATTATGAATCTTCATGCAGCCATACGTACACGTGTATTATACGTTGCATTTGGTCGAACGAGGAACGAAAATCGAATCGATAGTTAGGCGGTCCTATTGTCAAAGGTGCTCTGCGGTGCAGGCTATTACTTACAACAGAGAAATGATGCTGTGATATAAGTCCCGAAGAACCATCCGAAACTAGCGAGCAGATACTGAAATACGAGGATTGATTCATGGAGATCTTACAACTTAACGTGATTAGCAGATAAATAACAGACTGAATATAATTGGTTCTAGGCATTGAACGATCGAAGGCGACTGGAGGGATGTGCAAGTTTCAATAGTGGCAGGATGTTCAGCCAAAACGTCGCCTTCAGTTTATATAATCAGTCGCCTTGAACTTGCACAGTGAACTCCTCTGAGCAAGTCTACCCAAGCGTTATCATGACTCAACTTTAGAAACTAGTTCTGAGATGTAATCTGTCTGGACAGATTACATCGAGACGATGCCCTCAACGATAACATTAGCCATTCTATGAACAAAGCAAAACACCAAACGATACGGTTGCCAATCCTTCGCGCCAATGCTAGAAAATGTGTCGATGGTAAGAAGCAGTAACCCAAACACAATGCTCTACATTTATACATATTAGGAGGAGATTCGACAAATTCTACTAGTGCGAAGTCCAAGTAGTATGAATGGAAAGACACGTGTGTGAGTGGACAAGCGGAACAACTTTAACTCAACAAAACAACCGAACAATCATCGGCCAGGTCAGATTTTGAAGGAGATAGAAAACAAGACGACTAAACCTGGAATACCTCAGGAATGTCATTTAGGATTGACGTTGGTGGTCGATTGCTTTGTTGTCGAGAAGTGGAGTGGACCGTCAGCGTCGGAAAATAAAACGTTCAGAGGTAACAGGAAGTGTTGCAGTACAAACATAGCAAGTCATGGTAAATGACACTAGAGTGAGAATCTCACCAAGACACTAACCTGATTAAGCCCGACATTGACATCCACAAGAATAGGTTTGTGTTTTCGACGTGCAGCATAACTGGCTAGAGTGCGGCACAGCGTAGACTTTCCAACACTTTCATGTCCACACACAAGCACGCGCGGTCCACGACTTTGTTCCTTGACCGCCTTCTGACGTAAAACCTCTAGACTCGCGTGGATGTTCATGTAGACGTGTGCAATCTCCTGATCTTCAGCTACGTTCATCAGGAACGTAGTTATGTCCGGACCGTTAACCACGATCTTACAGCCATGGAATGTTACAACGGTTCCGCGAACTCCAGCATTCAACAAAAGTTCAGAACTGCAAACCAACTCAGTGCCGTAAATTTCCGCCGTCCCAGAGACAAGGACCAGACTCGACGGCGAGGACACCTCGAACCGAAGCATCTGATATTTCTCCAAAGTGTAAGTCCGAACATTGGGATTGAGTCTATGGGTATCCTTCTCACCGTTCATTTGGGAGACACGTCAAAAACGTGAAACTGAGTGAAATATGTATAACACAGAGACAAAAACACGTGAAGTGTCCACAAACGGTAGTTTATCAGACCCGATAGCTGTAACAAATTAGAGGAGAGAAATAAGCCAATTCAGGAATAGAACGAGGATACAGGAAACTAAGTGTGAAATTACCCGTGAAAAACTAGCACGTAAGGTACACACAACAAGCAATTCATTATTAAACGTCAAAACAATTTAAAACAAAGACCAGTAAATATCGTAGGAAAATCAAGCTGGGAGAGCTGGATCATTTAAAAGTCTCAGGTTGGTATATGCCACACACCTGACCCAGCGTCTTCTAAGGAGCAAGGAACTCCAACCAAGCAGATGAAATTATTGAGAGCAGTATAAAGACGTTCAACCAGAAAGACTAGTTCACCATTTGGTTGTCTTTATCCAGTTGCACGTGCCATGGTGATCAACAGGTACCTTGACGACAACTGTTTACTGACCGCCTGTCCCACTCAGACTGTGTATGCTTCAAAGAAACAAAGTTTTGCATTTGCCGTAAGCCCCAAATCAACGTCAGATTTGCAGGCATTTCTGACCGTCTAAACAAGATGTCCTCAACAGAGAAACGCCTGGAAAGGGTAGGACAATCATCACGTAGTCATCACTGTGCTACTAGGGCATTTTCAGTAGCTGGAATCTAACAAAAGCACATCAATATCCGCTTGGGGATGACACCACACAGTACCTAAGAACGAAATTCAAGAATGACCACTGACGCTCACAGCCGTTATCTAGTCTCGTACACGACAGTGCCTCTAATCCAAACTACTGTTTTCAATTTTACTCCTTCCCGCTTCCATATCATTAGCAACGCTCGTAATCCCAACGCAGTTCTACCTCGTCACTGGTAAACAGACTCGTGGCGGACGGAGATACTAAGGGATTTGTACACATTCTTCATCTGATAGTGTGGACATAAACAGCGCGCTAAGGGGCTCTTTTGAGAAAGGTGACTGGGCCATTGATGTCTCGCCAAATACAGAATCGGTCTTTGCATCCACAGGGGATAGTGCGCAAAATACAATATCGAGTATCCGGTTGAGTGGTTCAAAAAAGAGGGAAGCTAGGGCTAGACCACTTCCTTTTCCAGTTTTGTCCGCTCCGCAGTGAGATTTCTACTCGGAGTGTACGAAAATGTGTACAAAATGTTCAATGTTGTTGTTCCCGATGAGGAAGATGGATTTTAATTTAACACGTGCGAGGCCGAAATAGTAGTGACTCATTGCAAAAACCAGACAACTGATTTTCGAACGGTTAGTCACGAGTTCTCAAACTGCAAGCTCGTGTCCTTACCTGTTCGATTCCCGCAGAATAGAAGTAGACTTGCGCACGAATGACCATGAAGGCTCAGTGCTAGCTGTGGTTACCAGTAAGTCACTGGAAGTGGTTAAGTTTCATATTTATACCAACCCTTTTGGTAAGTATGCTGAGAAAGTATGAGATATCGTGAAAAAAGTTGTGATGCACTGGCTGATCAAAAAAACCAACCCTAAGTAGACTGCGGCAAGATTGGAGAGGGTACTTGTACATATCACAATATAATAGTTTGAGACATTTCCAAACACACCTACCCTCAGGCCAGGCAAGTAAGGTAAGATCATCTTTTCAGAAGCATATAGTGGGGTGCCGGAGGGGACATCAACTCAGAACATAAGTGGTCTTCATTTGAACGACAAAAGTAGGGTTTTCTACCCTTGACATAGCCTTCTGAGACCAAGTCAACTTATGCACATAGCAGTTTGGTACGCGTACAGCATTTGACCTTTTTCCCTTCGACTACTACGGCCATCCGGCTTATTTCTGGATCGCTAGCAGACTGACGACCTTCCAAGTCATTTCAGCAGTGTTGAGATGAGGTTCAAGTAGACTTGCACTACCAAAGGTGGTTGTAACGGGTCTCAATCGTTGAGAAGTAAAATGAAAAATCAGTGTTCAGACGGATATACAGAAGGCTACTGAAGTCCACATACAAGAACTGGAAAATTAAGAGATGCCGTGGGACTGAACGCCAATCAATAGCCTTCGCTCTCGAATTGGAAAGCTAGTTGACACGTCCCTGATCCTAGATACACTTTACTACACTTGGAGTCGCTGTTCTCGCATTGACATGTCAACGGCGTGAGAACTATCGCCTCTCTGGATGGGGACCGCGAAATTTAACTCATCAATGGTTAGTGATACTGAAAGACAGGGCTGAACCATGCGGCCAGTGGCCCTCCTGCATCAAATCCAATGCATAAAAGACAAAGCTGTCTAGTTTCTCCAACTAATTGATCATGCCATCAACTCCAATGCTTGGCTATTCCTTTCACTCTTACATTTTCCGGTGACCGAAACTGGAGCAGACGGTAGCTATGTACTCTAGGTACATTATCTACAGCTGATAAACGGAAATGAACCGAACCGGGTAAATCTAGGTTCTTGGCAACTTTTTTTCATATCCCACCTTAACGTATACAGTCCCATAGTAGTCGCGAGTGTTTGAATCATGGACACAAAAATACTGAAATCACAGTAGTTAGTTACACAGAAATTTATCCCAATTGATGTTGAATAATGTCACAAAAGAGTCGGAAGAATTATTTCACAGGAAGGAACGTTTCGAGAGGAAGACAGGAATTCTTCACCACGGTGGTCAGAAAACCATTGTGTGAATGCAGAAGTGACAAAAGGATCTAGGAGTCACCACTTCAAAGAAATAACAAAGTCATCCTAATGCTGAGTTCAACCAAAGTGCCACGACAGGCTTGGATGGCAAGATCAGAATGTATAATTTAGAGGACAAGAACCAATGGGACATGTAATTTAGAGTGAAGCTATTTCTGTTTGTCACCGCTAGTGGCTTAGCATTCGGAAATTGTAAGAATTTTATTGAAGGACCATTTTTCATGCCTTGAAATCACTCCCGAAGAACCTGTGGCTCACGAGAATCCGCTCACTTAACTCGACCGTCGACCGGGTAGGAGCACACTATTTCAGAAAAGCATTCTTCACTTGGAACCACATAAAAACTAAAAGGATTCTTCGAAAATGACCATACAAGTTCGCTGACCCCATCCAACCCTTGTTACTCTATCATCGAGATACTTGATAGCACCGGCTATTCGCCTCCAACAGGTAAACATCCGAACAGTGGGCAAGCGACTGAAACAAAGAGGATAAAGTAGCACTGACGAGGCTTGAACATGCCAACTTTACTTCCAAAATTTTAAGACTATCACACCCAAGAGACATGAAAAATAGTTTACGGATGAGAAGCTATGCGAGAGAAAACAAATGACTCAGGTTCTCGATGTAAACCGCCAGAAGCATCAGTGAAGAAGTCCTAACCAGTAAAAATCACTTAAAGATTACACAGATGCACCACCCAAGCTGGGGTCCATCAGCTCTGTATGCTTGAGGACGGGATGACGATGTAAAGGTTAGGATTAATACCCCGGACGCTCAATCTTCTGTCACTGAATGAGTAGTTTCTCAGTTGGCTATTTGCGGGCAGTTCCAACAATCAAGGAAGTTGTATTTTGAACAGTATCCAGTCCTGTTGTAATTATTTACATTGGTCCATACCAAAGATTGGTTTCTAAGCACGGAAAAGTTATATACAATAGCGGCCGCCATATCCAGATTAGAAAACTACACAACGATATCGATTTGAGAGACCCCCGACCTAAAGAAGTTACTCTGAAGTGCTGCCATGATCCCGCGGGCTAAACTGGCTAGAACTTCGATCCACAAGGTGCAACCATGTCCGGAAGGCCAAAGGGGAGCAGTCAAACCAAACAGTAGCAAGATCCCGTACTACGAGTAATCGTGTTACGAGGCGGTCTGAGGGGTAAATTCGTACTATCCTCTGAAGTAGCGTGTTTCCCCCAGGCGGCCATATTCATAGAAGCAGTGATGCTGCCTTCCCCAGATGGGGGACGGGTTGGAAAAGGTCGGCCCAAAAAAAGCACACTCCGATCGCCCAACGGTTGACCGTGACCGCCAGCGCATTATTCAATACGGTCGAAATACTTTTAAAACCAAAGAGTCCGGTGCTGGTCGAAAAGGCACCTGCTGCACGTAACCGCATCAGGAATGAGACAGTAATGCCTTACTCCCTGCGCAATCGGATTAGGCCAACCACATGCGGTCGAGCAGGTCATACTGTTGAGTCATCGGCTGCGCGCCGGGTCCGCAAAGAAAACCCTGACAACCGCTGTCTCGTGGGTCAGACTTGTGAGTCAGAGACTAATGGAAGGGCCCCTGAACAAAAATCTAGACCCTCCCAATGCCTCGTTGGTCTGGTTTTTGAGTCAGAGGGTAGGGACAGGGCACACGAACAAAACCCTACATCTTCCCACTGCCTTGTGCTTCAGACTTCTGAATCAAGGTAACTGGGATATATTATTTGCCCCTGCTTCCTATGTCGATCGATGCCAGTTGTCAGTTGTCTGACTGAAGGGTCTTATGCTCCCGGCTGCCTGTTAACAATAAAAAAAATAACACCCTTCTAAATCTATGTGATCCTTTCTAGGCGCTTTTAACATCCGCACACTATGTCAAACTGGCAAACAGGCAATGCTGGCTGAAACTTTATACTCGCTTCAGCAAGAAGCACTGACATTGTGATCCCTGCATGTGAACTGAATGCCCAAGTTGGTCGTCTGAGTTCCTTGGAATCCCATCTAGGCAGTCGATTCGGAGCCGATGCTAGTCGCACGGATAACGGAGAGCAACCCCTGCAGTTGCGTGCTGATCCTGAACTGTTCCTGGTCAGTAAGAACTCTCAGCATTAACGTTCGCATCGCATAACCTGGTGGCCATCACCTGCAAGTCAACCGTGGACCTAGTTGGATCACGTGGCCATCAGCCACTGGCAGAGCCAGACTTCAAGACCGCCATTCCTTCTGGTGTTCACAGCTTCATTGCGACCACGCTGTAGAACGAGCGCGCCTGACAGTTCATTCCCTTCAGGCCCTCACAAGTTAGCAAGGAGCATGCCAATCTATCATATCCGAAAAAATATCACATCTCAGAAGTAACGATCTGAGGCAAATAAAGAACCCTTAATAGTTAAACAAACACTGTGCTTGTAGCGAGCACGAGAATAAAGCATGAAAAAATGCGAAGGGAGGTACGCTAGTAGCATTCTGTGTGGTGTGTTAGACTTCACCGATTCGACCACAAGACCACTGGATATTGTTGAGATGGCTAGTCCTGATTGATGCCAGGGAATCCATGCTGACAGGCAACAAGTACGGAAGCGAACGCAAATTATTAAAATGCTAAACAGTGAAGAGCCTAAGGCATGGCCGAGAGCTCTGGTGGACGTCGAAAGCTCGAAAGATGGAGAACGCTCCTGCTAACGGAAATACACATGCCCTATATCGACTGCTACGATTGATTGGCCCTAGGAAAGCAGCGGTGAGTGAAGCGATAAATAAAAAAGGTGGCTCATTAACTCGCTCGTAGAAATGTTGACTGTGAAAATGGACCGAACACTTAGAGCCGTTTAGCTGGTCTTTTGAAACACAGCCTGTGAAGATAATGCCCACAGGAAAAAAACAATGTACGAACTATCAGCACCGAAATGTGAGAATGCATCAGGACCAGACGGTTTGTATCCATCTTTGTCCAAAGAAGGCACGGAATCCCTGATGGCCTATCTAACAAAACTAATTGGTGCGATGTAGAGTGAAGAGAAAGTACCTGCAGAATGGGGTATCTCGATAGTTGTTCCTACCTTCAGGAGTAAGCGGACGCTATGTGAAAACCACCGTGGAATCAGCCCGGTAGCTGTGACATCGAAGATGTTACCTGATCGTATCTTTCGAAGGTTGACTGAACACAGGGAGAGGCAGATCCGTGAAAACCCAACTGGGTGCCGTCGTGCAAGAGGATGCACCGATCACAATTCCATCCTCCGACAGATTCTGGAACAGCGACATTGCTTCCAGCTGCTTTTGACTCCGTGGACCGTCAGACACTACGTCAGTGTCTGCGTGCCGCACACATTTTTGACCCTCCTTAAGGCGCTGCACGCCAACACCCGAGGACGTGTGACGTTCTATGGGAAGCCCTAGCCTGAGTTCACCACATCAAGTGGTGTCAGACAAGGCTGTCCAATTTCATCCTTCCCCCTCAACTTGGTCACTGATACGATCATGGAAGACTCAGTACAAGCCTCTAACATCATGTGGGGTCGAGCGTCCGCTCACATATATCGAGTGCACAGACAGCATAGGCCTTCATGGATTTGACACCGTGGTAATGCAAATATTAAATAAGTTAAATAGTTCTGTTCCATGATATGGCTTGCGCTCCACACATGCAAAGTGTAAACCGCTACTGCAGGACTGGGCGGGCTCAAACCCTAACCTTTTGCCTGCGAATGAGCCGACTGAGGTAGCAGACAAGCGCTTCCACCTGGGCAGCTGTATCAGTCCCGGTGGTCTCACATCCAGATTGTGAGCCTGCATCACCTATGGCGTAGGCACGACATCAGCCTATCTCTCAAGGGTCGAGTTCACAATGCTGCGGTGCGT